GAAAGACGAGAGAGAGAGAGAGAGAGGAGGGGGTGGCAGAACGCGTACAACACGCTCGAGAGCCAGGTACAGGTTCTTAATTTTACGGGCCATTAGCCTCGTAATTACACGGGCGAATTAATTGCGTCGTAAGTAAGTTATTCCACCCGAGGGAGAAGGGGGTTGAAGCGAGCCACCGATGGAAAGGAAGGAACGGGTAATAGAGGGTTGAGAAGAGGCGGGCGAGGAAAGGAGAGAGAGGGAGAGAGAGAGAGAGGAGGAGCGGAGGTTGTTAAGATCAACTGCAGCGGGAGTGCTGACGACGATCAGCACACCAGCCAGCCCCCTTAGTGGTAGCGCGCTCTCTCTGGACCAACTTCCGCGACTCATTATGGCTTGCACAACAAATTAACGTGACGGGCCTCGACCCCTGGTACACCGGCGCGTCCTTAACGTGGCGCTTGTTAATGAACTCGACAAAGAGAACGAGAAAAAAAGCACGCGATCTCTCCCCCGATTCACCGCCTCTTTTCCTTATCTCCTCCCCCCTCTTTCTAATCTCGTCCTCTCCATCTCTGTCGCCGACACCCCACCGAGAAACGTAACCCGACCTGTACGTACCACCCTGTCGTTTAACCGAGTTAACAAGCGATCTTTTGTTGCGGAGGCCTCGTCTTTCCCCTCCCCCCCCCTTTTTCTTTACTGCCTTCGTGAGAAGAGAAAGAGAGAGGGGGGGAAGGGGTGTATATCCGAGGGGAAGATTCGATTCGACGGATCTTCTTTTCGTCGAGGTCGAGAGAGTTGAAATATCAAAGAAATTTTATGAAAATGAAATTATTAACGCGAATTTAAAAATGATCGTTTACTACAGGTTTCTAATTTTTTTTAAAGCGAAACTCTACGCGCTCATTTCATTTTTTCGTGCGCGGTTTTTTTCCACAAGAACGGCAAGGACGGCGCAAACGCATAACGACGATGAAAAGCGTCAGTTTTCACTTGTTTCGTTTCGAAACGTTAGACAGGAAATTTTAACTAAAGAGGTCAATATAATAACATCGACTGTAAAACCCTCGAACATAAACCTGGAAATTCAGAAAACGTTCTCCGTTACGGCGAAACGAAATGAAACGAGCGATAAAAAGAGAAATTTCACGGTGCTAATACCTGTACAGTTATCGTACGGGCAACGATGAAACCAACACTCGGTTGGAAAATATTTACGAGGACGTTCATAGAAGCCGGTATTCGTTAGCGTTGGAACAATGCGTTTAGTGCATGTTACACGCAATAATAACGTCCCGGGGGCAACGAAATCTACATTCCACGGTAACAGAAATTATGAGGGAGAACGTGTCTTAGTGTACCTCGCCGAGGAACAAACGTGGCTCGTGTCGATAAATCTCCGTGGAGTTCTCTCTCTCTCTCACCATTCGAGCCGACTTCCTCCACGCCCGTGTTGGCTCGTTCGCTTGATTAATCGTGTTTAAACTAGTCGCCTCCGCGCCAATTAAGTCTGTACAACGGCCCGTGCAACAGCGGCAAGAAAGGGGAGACGAGGGAGACACTCCCTCTTATCCGAGTGTCCGAGGGAAAAACAGGACCCGAGGCGGAACACCATATCAAGCCGAGTAGGGGACAACGATAAATTAGTATATCGGGCCGATATACACACATCTCGAACAAGACATCGTATTATATTCTTGTAATACTTTGTTGGGTATGCGCGTATATATAAGATTGTTCAAAGTGTGGAAAAATATCTTTTCCACGATCTATTGGATAAGGAGGTAGTATGGATTTTAAGGAAGATTGGAAACGTTGTTTTCCATGAAATGAAATGGAAAAAAGAGGAATATATACGCGTGCCTTTATATCGATGATCCCGTTAACATTATGTGGAAGAAGCCTGTACTAAAACATAATTGAGATGGATGAAAAACATAATTTTATTAGCCAAGAGAGACCACTTGAAACAAGTTCAAACCTGCTACTGAATAGTCTTGATCTTAACGTGCAACAGAAAATTATGAGGAAACATAAATAAGAAAACGTAACAATCTCTTGGAAACGGATGAAATAAAAGAACGGCATGCGGTAGTCTATATATTGCGTACACATAATATCTCGGAATTAATAGAGGAGCACGTTATAGTTGTTTTCTTACTCGTAAACTCGCTAACATGAACTCCGCCTGCATGTAAATGTTCTATCTAAAGTTTCTATCTAAAGTACAAACTGAAATAAATTGGTTTACAACATTGGTGAAAAAAAAAAAAAGAAAACTTGACCAAAGCATACAATCTATTAGAAAGAAAACTTTGCAGAAACCTTTCGACGAGA